AACGATGTGCATGGCAGGAAACCTCGAATGCGACGTGCATTTTCTGTCACAAAATAAATGCAGAAAGCCTTCGAAGGAATTCACGTGCTTGGCGACGACAATGGAATACGCAAAATGCAAATTACCGCATCTTTCCTCAACTTCAGGGTTTATACAAACTGTACGTACCTTGACTCGACGTAGAAAAAATTCCCAACAAAAGTACTAACACGCAGAAATATCCCTTCATCCTGCACGACGAAGGCTCTCTTCGCGAAGACCTCTGCAAGTTAAAATCGCTGTCTTTTGCCACCAACCCCGCACTTCCGCTTGTCAATCACTTTGATTAGCTTTCCTTGGGTTTAATTGGCTTGTCAAATACTTTTTCTTTCCTGTGAAAATAGGCGCGGTTAAGAATTGCGAAATACAAAAATAACTCGATGCTTTTCCAGTGTTTTTTAACAAAAAATGAATTACATCGTAGATAGCATTTGTTATTCTCATTGACGAAGGTTACGCAAAGTAATTTAATCAAGTACCTTGTTTATACTTGCCAAGTGGCGAATTTGGTAAACAACTCTTGACACTCTAATTTTTCTCGCAAGTAGGTTCGGCTGTACCCTGTGACCTGTTGTTGTTGTTGTTTTTTTTTAAATCGCTATAGCTGAGTCCGTCTGAAATTGTCTAAATTTCGAGAATTTGTCAAGAAAGAATATACCCGTCCTGTGGTTTTGTTAGAATCATTTTGTGTGTTGTTGATGCGAAAATTTTTTTGTTTCTTTTCAGTCAAAACTAGATGCAAGCAAATCGGTAAAATAGTACGGATGTACCTCATGATTACGTAGAGCACGCGCGCGAGACATATATTTTAAACGTCATACATTCCTTAGAGTTCTATTTGCTAGTTCAATTCCAGATCACAGAATGACTCAGTGCACAAGAATTGATTTTCACTGAATATCCAGCCTGGGCAAGAAAACATTTTAACAAAATAGGGTGTTCACCTTGCGGGTTAATTTTTAGCTAGAAAACTTTAAATACAACAAAAAGCAAAAGAAATGAAAAAAGAAAAAAAGTACTATTGTAGTCAACCGGAAAACTCAAAGATTTTTAAGTCCTTCTCAGCCCACCCACCGCCTCAATTTTTTACGAGGCAGCACACGATGGGCTCCATAACATAACACAAAGCAGATTTTATAAAACTGATATATTTATCAAATACTTCATAATCGGCTCCTGTCCACTTACCTGTGGTCGTGTAATGTTTCACGTATCGGATGATTTTACTGAGCTTGTAGTGACGGCAAAGATCCATGGTCATGAACTAAAACGTGACATGCACGTGAAGTGAGTAGTCGTTGATTTGAAGAGATAGAGAGCAGCACTCTACATGCTCTACTCAGCTTTAAATTAAAGAAAAAGTTACTGTAATCTCTATTTTCGTTTCGCTTTCAGTGCCAGATCTAGACCTTGAGATGACGGGGCCAGGAAATCCGGCAGGACCCTGATCCGGGAAATGTCTGCTAGTGGAATCCAGAATCTTGGGCTTTGGAATCCGGAATATCCAAGACTCTGTTGGGCTCTGTTGAATCCCCTTAATTAATACGTGGGGGGATTTGTAAGCGAAATTCTGGCGAAGCGAAACAAAAAAGAAAGCCAATTTTAGAAGGACCACACCCTCGAAATCAGCCTCTTCCAATCGAGTCTCCAAGCCCGCAAAAAATTTCAGCAGCTTACCGTTTTTCTTCAATTAAAAGCTGGGTAGGGTGTTGCTCGTTTTATCTCTCTTTCCCTCTTTCTTTCCAAAAATAACAACTTTCACGTGCATATCACGTTTTTGCAAAGGTCTCAGTGGTGTTTATCGTCAGACGTACCCTGGGTGCCGGAGGCTTTTCGTGCGCGGTTTGCAGTTTCGGTAGCCTGCGAGCAAGCTCTCCTATTTGGGCGAGTGAAACGAGTCTCGCGAGAACGCGCGAGCGAGCGGCGAAGCCGCGAGGGGCAGAGGAAAGGCCTCGGCCCCTCGCTCGCGCGTTCTCGCTAGGCTCGCTTCGCTCGCCCAAATAGGAGAGCTTGCTCGCAGGCTACAGTTTCGGTCTAGTCTTAAACTCCTGTCTTCGGCCTGTGCCCGACGAAACGAAGCTCCCCGCCGCACGCGAGAAAAACTTCTGCTGTCAAATGGCCTAGAAATTAGCCGTCAACTGTCAAAAACTTCAAAGTATTTCAAATCTCTCTATTTCAGCTGATCTTCACGGCATTTACCCTGCTAGCCGAGTCGCTTCGATCTTTCCTAGATAAGTCTAGGAAAGATCGAAGTGACTCTGCTAGCAGGGTACACGGCATTCGGCTCCTGAAGAATTTTTAAACTGGACTGAAACAGGGGCACCCAACGACTGTTTTCTGTGAAATATCTGTTCGGAGAAGCAAATATTGCCTAGAATTTTCTCATACTCTAGGATGGCTAAAACTTTCTCGTTGACCGTTCTATTCATGTTCAATTTTCGAAGCTCATCTAATAAATTCCCAACGATTTTCAGACGTTTGATTTTTCACATTTCACTCCCCATGCTAAGTTATTTTTCGTAGAAAAAAGGAAACCTAAAATTTTCGGATTAAAAAATTCGATAGAGAGAGGAATCAGAAAAATTCTCGTTTTCGTAATACGTTAAATTGCATGTAAAATTTTCGGGAAAATAATATACTGAGGCCCTTGAAATTTTGAAGAGACTCAAGTTTCCCTAGGATGACCGAACAGATACAAGTTATATAGCGCCGCTTAGAATGCATTTCTAGAGATCTAAAAGTACTCTGGATAGCCTTAAAAAGTGTTTTCAATGAATTTATAAGGAAACCGTCGTTGGGTACCCCTGTAAAAACCGGTTCCCATGCTCTCAAAGACACTCTTTCTAGACACTCTTTCTAGACATTTGTACTGAAATTATATACCATTTGTATGGAAATTTCGGTGAATTTTTAGCACCGAAAACAGGAACCGGATTGAGTTGTATCATTTACAAAATCCGGTAATTTTTTTTGCTTTCTCGACATGAAGCCTGGCACTAGTAATCCGAACAAATGGTACGGTCGTTTCGGTAAAAATGGGAAAAAGGAAAAATACCTGCAAAGGTATTACTTTTTTCTGGAAAATTTCCGTCGGATGGATCGTTCCATTTGAATTTTTCCCGGATTTTTCCGGGTTTTCTATACAAATGATAAGCGCTCATTACCTTACTGACCTGCTTGTGTCTGAAAATACTTCGGAAATTTATAAGTGAAAGCTAAGGCCGGGACAACCTCCAAAAAACAACAGTTGTTAATATTTACTTTAACTTTTAGAGTAAATTTTCACTTAATAACCGTCAACCACCAAAAGTTCTAAAATTTAACCGTCAGCCGTCAAAATTGGAAAAAATAAACCGTCAACCGTCAAAGCTACCACCCCAAGGAGACCCTCCTTTGTTTATGATCAGAATGATGTTTTTGCCGTTACTACCATCACTTCCCGCGAAATGACGTCTGAGGAGAAATTTATTACTGATGACGTGTCACTACACAGATCTGGGAAGTGCTTCTAAACAATAAGCTCTGGGTAGTGTCACGTGACACGTCATCAGTATGGAATTTTTGCGGCTGTTCCTCAGACGTCATTTCCTGGGGACTGACCTGTGGTGACGTTGCGAAATGTCCGCTGTTTTCTCAGGTTACTCTCTAGCGCTATGAAGTGGAATTCTCTGAAGCGGCAAGTTTTTATTTTCCTTTCTGTTGACCAATCCGGAGGCATTAGCTACTTTGGTCACTGCGCACATCTTAATTCCTTAATTTCTGGTTATTTTTATATCTGACATTGTTCCGCAAGGTACTTATACAAATCAAAATTCCAATGTAACCAATATGTAAATAGTGCAAAAACAATAAAACCTGAAAATCTGAATCTTTCTGAACTTTAAAAAATGGATGTGCTCTCTTTGCCATTTGGTCAAAACAGCGCACACAAACTGATTTGGATATATGACATAGCCTTGTAGAAGAATACACACAGGTATATTCTGTACACTATAAAATACTGTATACTGTAAATCAAATAACCGTTGTGGCTTATTCTGCTCTACCTTAGGGATTTTAGTTTGACTCCGATGCCGCGTGAATTCAGTGACACTATATACATAGCGCTGAGTGGAAGGCAAAACACTAACACTGTTAATAAAATATTTAACAAAGCCCGAGCACATGTTTTGTCGCGTGTCCTGCTTTTGTTATTTTAAAAAAGTTTTTTTCGCGTCAAGTGGTCACCAAAGGTCGCGCGTCCTAATTTGCATATCCTGTTATTGCTCTTTATAGCTCGATTATAGCCCTAAATCCTCAAAATATTTACCACTGAGTAGGTCTGGAAAGTCCCAGTTGGTTTGATAGCTCATCTGTAAAAGCAAAGCATCTGAATCGCATTAGGTTGTGGGATCGAAATTCCGCAAATTTATTTTTCCCCTCAGGCAGCTCAGGCTTTCCTTTCTCAACTCCTTTAGCCTGGGACCGGGCTCCGCGGTGGAAGAAAAAGGCAAAAAAACGATTAACGGGGTCAAATAAAGCGGTAGTCTGGGGAGGGGAAAGGGCGACGCCGCTTTCCCCTCCCCAGACTTCCTCTCTTTTTTCCCCTAATGCGGAGCCTGGTCCCGGGCTACAATTCCTTATGTTGCGTATATTTCACGTGTTGGTTAAATCTATCTCCCGCAGATCAAACATATAAAGTGATTTTACTCAACCCGCGAAATAGATAGTAGACTACAATCTGATGTCATTGTTTTGTTTCACCTGTAACCATCTGCCACCTTATTTTCATTGCAGTTCACAGCTCGCAGCCCACAGCTCGCTCTTTTTCAGCCCGCTTATTCCCCAAATCCCCAGGCCAAATCTAAAGAAACTCAATGCAGTTCAGTGAAGTTGAGTGTAAAATACAAGTCTTTTGCGTTTTAATTTTCTTTTTCACACACATTTGATTTAGCCTGTGTAGCAGGCGCTGTTTTTTTTTCAGGGCCAAGAAAGAAATCTGGAGGAAATGCGCGGTTTGTAAAAAACTAAATAACCGGCGCCAACAGCGCGTGCTACGCAGGCTACATTTGATTATGGTTTAATTAAAGCCCCATGCAAACGGAAGCAACATTGTCGGCCAGCAACTCCCAACATTGTTCGATTAGGTTCGACGTTACATGTTGCGTCCGTTTGCACACCCTATTGCATGTTCTTGCGTGTTGTTGGAAGTTGTTGCGCAAAGTTTGAAACCGGTCAAACTTTTAGCCCCGTGGAAACGGACGCAAGAACTCCCCATATTGTTGGGCCAACAATGTTGGGAGCTGTTGCGTCCGTTTACACGTAGCTTAAGAACAAAGGATAACGATCGTAATGGAAAAAATCTCGGGAGAAAAACGAGCGTACACTCTTCTCCGAAACCTTTTCCTTAGTAAAAGAGACGGTCTATTCAGACTGTTTAGCGGACGTAGATGGCACCTTGTGAACCACTTAAATATCTTAAAATCAAACCATTACAGATGGTTTCCTTGCTACGTCTGATTTTTCCGTAAAAAAGTTCAAGACAGTAGAAATTATTTCTATAGTTCATTTTTTGCTTGTAGACCACAAATTGCGTTAATGATGACATGTCGATGAAGAACAATCTTTCATAGTCATCCCTCAAAACTCTCGTAATCATCCATGGCTAAAATAAGAGCTGTCTACAAATCCATTGCTTCTCCTTCTTCTTCCCTCGACTTGGAATGAGTCAACTCGCGACGAACTTCAGCTGTTATCTACGACAAAAACCCAGACGTTAATAAATTACTTTTTTGAGATAAGAAGTTACCGGTGAATAACACTTTCGCACTTCCAGTAAGTTACAAATCTTCATCCTTGATGACTTGGCTCTAACCTAAAGGAATAGAGCCAAGTACCTGCTTTACAGAGTTGTCCGTATTAGGGAGTTGGTAGAGATTGTACAAAGATTCGTATCATTGGGACAAAGAGAACTGTCCGTGGTAGAGAGGTTCTGTATCACAGAGGTCTGAGATACTGCATTAAAAGATCGGTACTTTTGGGACCAAGGAAACTGTTCGTCGCAGAGACGTATCTGTATTATGGAGGTCGAGATTGTATGAAGATGGGTATCTTAAGGATTAAGAGAACTGTCCGTAATAGAGAGAGAGGTGTCTCTATTATAGAGGTAGAGCTAATCGCATGAAGTTTGGTATCTCTGGGACCAAGAGAACTGTCCGTAGTAGAGAGGTGTGTGTATTATGGAGGTCGAGATTGTATGAAGATGGATATCTTTAGGACTAAGAGAACTGTCCGTAATAGAGAGGTGTCTGTATTATAGAGGTAGAGCTAATCGCATGAAGTTTGGTACCTCTAGGACCAAGAGAACTGTCCGTAGTAGAGAGATATCTGTATAATAGAGGTCGAGACTGTTTGAAGATAGGTATCTTCAGGACAGAGGAACTGTCCGTGGTAGACAGGTGCCTGTAGCTTAGAGGTCGAGACTGTATTAAAAGATTGGTACGTCTGGGACCAAGGGAACTGTCCGTAGTAGAGAGGTGTGACCTGTATTATAGAGGTCGAGACTGTATTAAAAGATTGGTACTCTTGGGACCAAGGGAACTGACAACCGGGTCCATCTAAAGCAATATTAAAACCTCGGTAATAACTTACCTGTGCATGGACGTGAACTCTACATAATTCCATCAGAGCATCCTTTTGTTCAGTGGAAATATCCTCCTTATACCTGTTCAAAAGTAATTGTACAAACTTGAGATATTTATCACAAAAAGCCTTTTCAGACAGGTCCTTAAACATATAAAAGTGGAGGTTACCTTCTATGAAAATAATTCAAAATGTTTGGCATACATCCAACCGGGTTGAATGCCTTTACTTCTCGAGGTTACAAGGTAATTTCTAGACATTACTTACCACGCACTAAGACTGCCGAAGAACCGTAGTGGTCTTGAATGTGGAAATTTTTTGGTCTTACGCCGAAATGAGCGGGTCCAACACAACTGCCACAAACATCAAGAAGCTTCAAGCTGTTCAGAATTTCGCGTGCAGAATCATCACAAAAACCAAGAAATTTGAGCAAATAACACCTGCGTTACGTGAGATCAAATGGCTACCGGTAAATGAGCATCTCCACTACAGAGACACTGTAATGACGTTTAGGTGCATGGAGGGCCTAGCCCCCACATACTTGTGTGAGTCTTTCCGAAAGACGCGAGTCTATTCAATATCATAACACTAGAAACAGAGAATCCCTTGATATTCCTCCAAGTAAGACAAAGTCAGGACAGCGACGTTTCCTCCATAGAGCAGTCAACATTTGGAACAATTTGGACAAAGACTTTAAACAGTTATCTTTACCATCATTTAAAAAAAAAGTTGAAAACGCACATGCTAGAGAATTATTTTAATTATTGACCGCTTTTTATAATTTTATTGTTTTCTATTATAATGTTCTTTGCTGTTTAGTATTGAAAAGTCCCCTGGGGAATACTAATAAAGTATGTTGTGTTTTTTTTTTAATTCGAAGCAATGTGAGGCGAGCCAATAGGTTATATAGTGTTTTCACATAACCTCACGGCGGCCATAATGGTGTCCCAAAACAATGACACGGCGGCCATGTTGGTGTCCTAAACCAATCCTCTGGGAGTTGAACTCTTTTCTTATGCAAACGCTTTCTTTTGTTCTAATAAATTTGCATAGATGCTGGCCACCTGAGTGAAAACACTCTATATGCTTCTGATAGTACGCATTCGCTACTTTGGAGACAAGAAGAAGACTGGAACACAGCAATAGTTTCTGGAATCGTTACTAGTGACGTGCCGTTCAGCTATTGGCCAATTTTTTCCCTGTCCCTAGTAACAGTCCCAGAAGTCTATGCGAAAGTTAAATCGGCCCAGGTTTCAGAGTCCAGTTTCGAGTTCGCTATGACCGCTGAACTGAAAGAAGTGAAGACGCATTTTTTACCGGCAGAGCCTCCATCTGAAGTAATATATTCACAAATTCCAACGAGAAAAAGACCTGTTTATTACTCTGTCTATTGTGTATATTAAAATTTCAAACACTTACTTGCCGGAATTTCTGAGTATTTTACTTTATGTCGAGGCTAACCCTGTATAAATTTGCCGTTAATGTTTGTATTCAGCGGTAATTTTTAATTCGAAACTGGACAATTTCGTTTCCAAAGCATCCTGCGTAACAGAAATTGAAAGGGCTAGGGGATAGGGAGGAAGGGAAAAAGGAAGGGGGATTGATTCCCCTTTTCCCGTTTTCGCGCTTTTCTGCCTCCCCCTCACCTTTGTGCGCCTGCCACGCAGGCTATTTCTAAAGTGGCGAATTGTCTTGCCAAGTTTTGCCCCGCCCGTTAAGTAACATCACTCACCTTTGTACAAAAGTAAGCAAACTTTGATGCCACAGCACTGGAAGGGAACGCTGATCAGATAAAAATCTAAAACCACAATACAAGAGATTAAGGACGACGGCAGGAAGATTTTTTTTCTTCAGTGAGATTAGTAAAGCACAAAACACAATCAAAAAGGCCGACGGCAAAAAAAAACATAGATTGCTACTATGGTGACTAAGAGATGGAAAAAAGGTAGCACTTTTAGACTGTTCACAGTCTCCTATTTTTCCGTAAGATCGTCGAGATCGACCACTCACCGTCATCTTCAGGCTAGAATCGGTCAGATGGCCGGCGTAGCGCTCGTTCTCGTTACGGAAACTTTGGGGACTCATGAACAGCCTATAGAACTTAAAACATTTTACACAGTCATAAATAAAAAGAAAAAACTTAAGGTCAACTCACCGTAAAAAGTGATATACTACAGCATCGATCACTCTGTAGGGTAATGCATATTTTTTGTCGAAAAAGTGCCGCAGGAAAATACTGTTTGCACCTGAATTAAACAAAAATCAAATCCCTTAATAACCTGGTGAGGTTTTCAACTAGTTGATGCTATTTTAGTTGATTAGTGAAACAGGAAGCAAGTTGGTAAAATAAAAACTGCAGAAAGAGATTATGAAAGTTCTTTTATAAAAAAGTTTAGGACCACAGTCCTTTCTTCAGGGTTCTGACTAGGGGCGATCTCTCAAAATATCAGCTTCCATGGCGGAAAAAAATTACATATTTTTAATTAAGTCTGTGGATGAAATTCTATGGTGTGACCATTCAAATGAAACCTCTTCAATAATACCTTAACCTGATATTATTAACTTTTGCCATGCCTTAACAGTCCCAACTTTGAGTCTATAGACGAAATCCTCGAGTGTGACCATTCTTTGACATTACTTCCATAAGCAAGGTGCTATTATGTAATATTTGACATGATGGAATTTTCATAGGTAGGTGTTTTTTATTTTGCTATTAGGGACCTTACGATCCGACAACGGCGACGTCTATGAAAACGTCCCTGAAAAATAGACTCCGCATCCTTTCAAACCATTTCGCGAATATCCAAAGTCGCCCAGTTACGTAAAAGAGGGGAATTTATGTTGAAGCTGAAGAGAGGGGGCCATGCCCGAGTACAGACAGAGATGATAAAATTTATCGCCTTGCCGTTCCCGTCCTTAAAAACTTAAAAGTTGGTCATTTCACGTTGTAGTCGTGCAGGGAGGGAAAAGAAATGTACAAAAAAGCGTGATGCACGTGCAAAGTTGTTGTTTTGCTAACTAAACCTATTGCTTTTCTGCCGTTCCCATTGCCGTCGCCGTCGTTGTTTCGTAAGGTGCCTACTTTGGCAGCCTACTTTGGCAGCCTACTTTGGCAGCCTTGGGGACGAAAAGGGTGAAGAAATTACAAAAAATGAGTTCATACATGTAGGTGCATTATACCTGAATAGTCCATCTCAGCAATCTTGAGCATGGCAGCACTTGCGTGAAGAACTGGAATACTGGTCTTGGAGATTAGACTTCCTATGATTATAGCCTCACGAAGGGTACATGTTCTAGTCTGCTCATTAAAGTTTAAAAACAAGAAAGCCAATGAACACTAGATAATTCTCTCTGTCTTGAAAACTCACTGAAACAATTCTAAAAACGTCAGAGACTGCAGAGTTAAAGGTTTCCAGTTAAGAGAGAAACAGCTTCTTAAAATTACAAATCCTTGCAAAAAAATTATCACTACAGGGTGTCCCAAAAGTTCGTTCCTCTACTTTATAAGTCTGTATTTCAGTACGATTGGACTTGGTAAGCAAATCATTTCAAAAAAAGTTGTGTCTTTCAATATAATTCACTATTTTCATACTTGTTGTGCCATCTTTTGACTCGAATATTCGATTTGTGTACTTCCGCGCCAAAGGTGCGCGTGCGCGAGTATATTTTCCAGCCACACATTTTTTGTATTTCATAGCCCGAATCGCTCGAACTCCTTCCTTATTTTTTTGTGAATATCACGAAAGATAAACCCCCTTAACGCGAAAACGTTCAGCTGCGTGAGAGCATAAGCCTGTATACTTCGAATTACTGGCTTATCTGTTGTAGAAATTGTTAAAAAACTGGAAAAATTTGATTGTAGGGTGGTAGAATGATCATGGAGAAATGAAGGTTTTGAAGGCAAGAAACTAAGGGGAAGACCAAAAGCCCTGAATAAAGCAGCTAAAATAGTTTTAAAGAAGGCTAGATACAAAATAAGAGACTCGACAAGGAAGCTCAGTCTCACATGGTTAGCAAGCCAAATAAAAGGGTCGTGAAAAGCTGTTTAAAATGTTTAAAATTAGAGGCCCCTGAGATGGCAAAAAACCCTCTGCTTAGTCTGCCAATTAACGCCCAGCTCGTTTCAAATTTGTAAAGAAGTACAAAAGCCTTGCTGTGGAACGGGGCCGGGATGATTGACTATGTAGCCAATTTATTCAAACCGCGAGTTACACCATATAATCTTAGAAGCAATGGTCTAAATGTTGTTCAAACTTCATATAATAGTAGATTCCTTCATGGTTCATATGCGCACATGATCTCGCACATCTGGAACCAGTTGCCATCTGCTGTAAAAAACGCACCTAATGCATCATCCTTTCGGAGACTTTTAACTAAGTTAAATTTTATCGGCTGTCAATGCAGCAATTGCCTTTGACCCCATTTATTTTTATAGATGGATGTTATTTTTTTTTTGAGTTAACTGGTTGCTATTGAGATATTAATTAATTGACTTTTCTTTTATGTTGTCAAACACTTTTATCATGAGCCCGTGGCTCGGGGGATTGGGAGACCACCCCCTGTGTATCTGACATTAAATAAATTATCTTATCTTATCTTATCTTATTATCTTTTTTGGATGAAAACCCAAAATATATTTTTTTTCAGCTGCCTAAACTAAACAAATTTTGTTTGGGGGTTGAACTGGATCCTGCGCACCAGGTGATAAAAAAGCTCAAAATGGATCATTTGTGGGTCTACACGCTGTATCCCAATTCATACCGCAACGGCTACAGAATGTGATAAAAAAACAAAAAGGGCATGCCAGTAACTGAAATTCTGAATACATGTTTTTGATAGAGAAATAAACATCTTCTAGCAATTTCATGTAAAAATATAGTTTTGATCAAAAGTTATAGAGCATGAAATTAGAGGAACAAACTTTTGGGACACCCTGTACATCACAACTTTGCTTTACTTTACGTAAAGAATATCAACGTGTCTGTAATTTTTTAATAAAAATAAAAATACACAGGTAAATTGAGACACTTGGTGTGAAACTATTGTAACTGAATATTAGGGTTTTCTGTCTGTTAAAGATCAATTTCATCGTTGATTTAATACCTTCTTTTCTTTGTTTTTTTTTTTTTGCATTTGGTAACCAGATATGTAAGTAACATGTTACTGATATCATGTATAGCGTTATTTAAATAAAGACTTGGAAACGATTTGTGTTCTTAGACTGAAGGCTATCACTCATGACAAATACATGGACAGATTTAGGGAAGGGGTTGATGGGACCACAGTGCCCCACTCACCCCAAAAACCCACCACCCACAACCACATTTTAAAGAATTTTGAGTAAGACTTGAAAACGATTCCGTGTTCCAGAACTGAGGGCTATCACGAATAATGGATACAAGGGTGGATTAAGGGCTGGGCTGAGCAACCCTTCCTCCCAACTGTATCTAAAGCTGGCTAGTGTCCTAGGTCCCTGCGATCTGAATTTTCTGGATCTGCCCGAGATATTTTGAATTTCACATACCTCACACAACGGCAACAAAACTCCCTTGAAGAAGGCAGCAGGTTTAAAGAGAGCTTTTTTCAGAGACTGAAAGACAAAGATAAAGGGAATGGGATTGAAATAGAAATAGTAAAAGTAATCAATTAATGTTCCCTATAATAGTTTTCAGTTGAATGTCACATGGCATTACAGCAGTGATGTAACTAGTAAATCTGATCTTTGTGGTATTACAACTCTGAGTGTCTTACCATGTAAAGATGATAGTTTAACCGTTTATACTCTGTAATATCATCCCTCACTCTTGGGAGTAAAACTAAATTAAAAAACCTAGGAGAAG